AACAGCCAGTATCATTCTCAATGGTGAAAAGCTGAAAGCAATTCCATTAAGATCTGGAACAAGACAAGGATGTCCACTCTCACCACTGCTTTTCAATATAATACTGGAAGTCCTAGCCAGAGCAATAAGATAAGAGAAAGACATAGAAGGAATCCAAATAGGAAAAGAAGAAGTCAAACTATTACTATTTGCAGATGATATGATAATATACATAGAGAACTCCAAAAACTCCACAGAAAAACTAATTCAACTCATCAATCAGTTCAGTAAAGTGGCAGGATACAAAATCAACGCGCAAAAGTCAGTAGCCTTCCTATACACAAACAATAAATCTGAAGAAGAAGAAATAAAAAAAACCATCCCTTTTATTATCAAAACAAAAAAAAATCAAATACTTGGGAATAGATCTAACAAAAGAGGTAAAGGACCTATACAAAGAAAACTATAAAACACTGTTAAAAGAAATAGAAGAAGACACAAAGAAATGGAAAGACATCCCCTGCTCATGGATTGGAAGAATAAACATTATTAAAATGGCCATCCTACCAAAAGCATTATACAGATTCAATGCTATTCCAATAAAAATTTCAATGTCATTCTTCAAAGAAATAGAACAATTATTGATGAAATTCATATGGAATCACCAAAAACCCCAAATAGCCAAAGCTCTCCTGAAAAAAAAAGAAGGGAATGGAGACATCACACTCCCAGACTTCAAACTATACTACAAAGCCATAATCATCAAAACTGTATGGTATTGGAACAAGAACAGACACACAGACCAATGGAATTGAATAGAAAATCCAGAAATAAACCCACAGATTTATGGTCAACTAATCTTTGACAAAGGAGCAAAGACTATGCATTGGAGCAAAGAAAGTTTGTTCAATAAATGGTGCTGGGAAAACTGGGTCGCTACATGCAAAAGAATGAAGCTTGACCACTACCTCACACCATACACAAAAATCAACTCAAAATGGACTAAAGAACTAGACATAAGACCTGAAACCATAAAATACATAGAAGGAAATATAGGCAAAACACTACGTGATATGTACATCAAAGACATCTTTACAGACACATCACCCAAAGCAGTGATAGTGAAGGCAAAGATCAACAGATGGGACTACATCAAATTAAAGAGCTTCTGCACAGCAAAAGAGACAATAACAAAAACAAAGAGAAACCCCACCGACTGGGAGAACATTTTTGCACACTACACTAATGATAAAGGACTGATCACAAAAATCTGCAAAGAGCTGATGAGACTCAGCACAAACAGAAAATAATCCTGTCAAGAAATGGGCAGAAGAGCTAAAAAGAAACTTCTCTGAAGAGGAAATGCAAATGGCTAACAGGCATATGAAAAAATGTTCAACATCACTTGTAATCAGGGAAATGCAAATCAAAACTACCATGAGATACCATCTTACTCCAGTGAGAATGGTGCATATTAAAAAAACTGGGAACAACAAATGTTGGCGAGGATGAGGAAAAAAAGGAACTCTCCTGCACTGTTGATGGGAGTGCAAACTGGTCCAACCACTATGGAGAGCTGTGTGGAGATTTCTGGACCTACTAAACATACAGCTTCCATATGATCCAGCAATTCCACTGCTAGGTATTTACCCAAAGGACACAGAAACATCAATTCCAAAGAGCACCCCTATGTTTATAGCAGCACTGTTTACAATAGCTAAGCTTTGGAAACAACCCAAATGCCCAAAAATAGATGACTGGATCAAGAAGATGTGGTACATATACACCATGGAATATTACTCAGCATTCAAAAAAGATAAACTCATGCAATTTGCAGCAACATGGATGGCACTGGAAGGGATCATGCTCAGCGAAATAAGCCAAAAAGAAAAAGAAAAATACCGGATGGTCTCACTCATAGCAGGAATCTAGAAAACTTAAATAAGGGACCAGGAAAATGAATAACTATAAGAAAGTGAAAATCAAAATCAACAAACAACTATGAACCAGAGACATTTTATGGGGGGTGGGGAGCAGGGCGGGGAGGGATTGTGGTCAAAATAAGGGGGTTGCAATTGTATGGGGAATATAAAAATAAAATTTATTTAAAAAATACATAAAGTCAGCTATTGGTAGACTTAAGGAAACAAAAAATCTGAAATAAAAGACAGTTGTAAATTCATTTGTATATTTATGAACATGAAAATATATTAATGTCATTAAGTTGTAAGCTTATTTTAGAAGTTAGCTAAATGTGATACCATATATATAAAGAAAAAATATTTGCCTCAAGAATCTAGAAGGGCATGTAAAGTATAATTATGGGTGAATTTATTGCTTGTCTCTATTTTCTGGTTTTCCTTATAATGAACTTTTGTTATTTTTTGTTTTTAACATAAAACTTATTTATGGTGTTACAATTTTAAAAATACTTTCTCACACTATCAACATTTTTCTTTTTTTACAACATCCAGCAGATTATTGTAGATAGCATTTACAGATGAATGATCTAAGTTTAACTTTAGACTGACTGGATGTAAGATGCACCTGTAAGAATGGCCCACATCAAAAAGACCAGAAATAAATGCTAGTGCAGGCGTGAAGAAAAATGAACCTTTGTATGTTGCTGGTGTGACTGTAGACTGGTCCAGCCTTATGGAAAACAGTAGGGAAGTTATTCATAATATTTAAATAGATTTTCCATACATTCCAGCAATTCCACTTTTAGGTATCTACCTGAAGAATGCAAAAACACTAATTAGAAGGGATAGATGCACTCCTATGTTCATTGCATCTCTATTTGCAAGAGCCAAGCTATGGAAACAACCAAAGTGCCCAATGACAGATGAGTGGATAAAGAAGATGTGATAAATATACTCAATGCAGTACTACTCAGCTATGACAACATAGATGGAACTGGGTGGGGGCATTATGCTAAGTGAAGTAAGTCAGAAGGAGAAGGAGAAAAACAAATATTGGAATGTTGCACTTTAGAAAAATGGGGGTGGGAGAAGTCAGTCAAAACCAAACCAGTAACTGTCTTTAGAATTAAGTTACCATCAAAATCAACAAAAAACTATGAACCAGAGACAGTTTTTGAGGAGTGGGGGGCGGGAGGGGAGGGATTGGGGTCAGAATGGGGGGGTTGCAAATGTATGGGGAATATAAAAATAAAATTTATTATTAAAAAAAAAAAGAATTAAGTTACCAGGGGCCTCCCTGGTGGCGCAGGTGGTTGAGTGCTGCGCTGTGAAGCTGTCCACAGCCTTTGCAGTGCCGGTTCCATCCCCGCTGACCTTGGAGCAACCCCCACGGTGAGCAGACCTTTCCTGTCTCGCCCCCTGCTCCCCTCAGCAGTGTATTTCATCAGTCTGCCTGTTCTGTTTCCTGCTCTGTCTCTGGTGAATCCTCTCACCCTCCTGCGCATCTGGCCTGTACCCCAGTTCTTGTACTAAAAAAAAAAAACTTCTAAGGCGACATTTAAAAAAAAAAATTAAGTTACCAAAGGAGGGGAGGGTGGAAAGCAAAGTGTAGAGGCATCCAATGAGCTGTGGTGGAGGATTATGGATGCTGTGGTGGTGAACATGAATGGTAACATACATCTGAAGAGGTGTGAACCTGCACCCTGGGTCACATGAAGTGTTGTAAACCAATGTTACCTCAATGAAAAGCTGATGAAATTTTAAAAAAATAGAAAAGAAAAAAATTATTAAATTTTAAAAAATCTGTTAAAGTCAGGTCTTACTCCAAATCTAATATCATCATCCCCTTGGTCAGTGTTTCTCATAGGGGCTACTACAAATACCATCCATATCTATACAATAAGCATTTGTAATTAAAAACAATGAAAAAATCACTATCTTGTTTGGAGGTGGTTAAAAAGATGGAAATGCTTGCCTTGCTCAATGTATTCAAATTTTGTCCCAATCCTGGACAACCTCATTGCAGAAAATGTGTAGTTATTATGCAAAATATAGAATAATTGGCAGCATGAATTCTTTATTGATGACTCATGATAAAAAGAGAAAATGAACATTCATGGGTAATTTGAAGAATTATTTGTACGCATTACTTGCCCCTTTATTTTCCAAGTAGCCTTTGCTAGACAGCAAAAAAAAAAAAAAAAAAAATGTAATTGATCAGTTAATTTCCTCTTCTGCACAATTGACTTCTCCAGCATTAATGAAAACTGGTATATGGTTATACTTTTTTTTTTTTTTGCATAGATGAACCGGGTTGTAGGCCAGAGATGAGGGGGGTGAGAGGAATTCTCTAGAGACAATGGGGAGCAGCACAGGCGGATTTACTGAACTACATTGCTAAGGGGAGCAGTGGGCAAGACAGGAGAGGTCTGCTCCACCATAAGTGGTTTAGCTCCTTGGCCGGGGACTGAACTCAGGCCATACCAGTGATAGTGCTGAGACTTAAACCCTAGGCCAACAGGGAGGCCCATGGTTACATTTTAAACTGATAGAGAGGCATAAGAAAAATCTCACCAATATTCCTGCAGTTCAGATAGGTGATTTTAACAACATATGGTTTCCTTGCCATAAGCACATGGTAAAAATACCTTCAGTTCAGTGCAAAGGGAAGTAATCTCAGTGAGATTATACAGAAACAAGTCAAAATTAATAAATTCTACTGAGCATGTTTGGTTTTGCTATCTGTCCCATTCTCTCATAGACAAAAAATACAAAACTAGAAATTAAAAAATATCCAGGAAATGAGAAAAGAACATAATTAAAGAGTAAGTAGCATTCTGCATTTCTCTATTAAGAAAGAGACTGTGATAAAATTACTTTCTACTACAGAAATTTTCAAATGAGAAGAATATTTCTGAATGTGCTGAAATATTTTCTATGAGCATAGAATTATCTGCAAATTCAGTCAGAGTCCCACCCAAACTTTTAATAACTTTCCACAGTTTTCCTTTTTCTTACTTGCCTCAGCACAAACCCTATCTTCTTAAAGATGAAGGATCTACCAACAGCTTCCTCCCTCCAAACTTAAAACTGACTTACTCGTGTAAACTGTGAATGTAAACATCTTCATCACCATCATCAAGCCTGGACAGTTGATCCATTATACTTTCAACACCAACAAACACAAAGATTTATTATTAGGGATTTGCTGCATGGAATGGAGCTATGAAAAATTCATTTGAACAAAAAGAACTTGACTTAAAGTCTTATGACTTAGTTCACTGGAAGATTTAGAAAGAATTTTAGAATATTGTCTAGAAAACTATTCCCATGCATATCTCCAAGACTGAATTTTGCATATTCCCCCACCCACTTCTTCCACTTCCTCTGTCATTCTTGCTAATACAAGAACTCCATGACTAATTGGATTTCACAAATTTCAATATACCCTCTTCCTCTCTATATATATTTATATCTCACATTTTACTGGTGTCTTCAACACAGGTTATGTTTTCCGACTCATGTGGATCACATCTAAAGGATTAAAAATGCTCATAGTAAAACTCCATATATTTTTCTAGACTTATTTTTCAATGCAAATTAGTTACCATTACTCTATAATTCATAATCTAGTTGACCTTTAAAAATAGTATCTTAATCAGTTATTTGAATCCTGTTATTTATTTTTCCCTAGAAATGAGGCTTTATACATTTGTAAAGAAAATCTGAGCCCTGTGGACAAAAAAATTTTAATGACTCATGTTCATGTACATTTTTTTTTTAATTCCTGAACCCCTTCCGGAGGTCAACACCCTACTTTCTACAATAGGTTTCTCTCCTCTTTTGCTCCACTTTGGTAGTCTTATAGATAGGCTTTATAATATCCTCCTAAGGGTTTGACTGCCACTAAGAGTAACAAACAGATGAGCAATAAGAAACATTCGTCGCATGACCTGTTTCTCTTTTATCTAACTAGATCCCCAAAAAGAGTTATTTATAAATACTACAATGAAAAGTTTAGAAAGTGACAAAGACATTGTAATATCTGGATGTTCCTGAAACTGAACCTCCCAAATTTCAATCTCTTCTGCTCTTCCTCCTCCTTTCCTTCTTCCCCATTCCTCTCCTCCCCCTCCTCTCATCCATAATTATATATGCACACACATACACATATATATATATATTTGGATCTATCCATCTATATTTAGATCTCACGTTTTATTGGTGCCACCACCAAGAATTCCTGTTGTTGATTCGGAAAATTCAGTGCTGAAGGAATAAAAAGGTACACAAATATCACATGAATTTCTAGATTAAATCCTTCAAATTATCTAAAATTACTCTAACTTATAAATTAATTGAGCCTCTAAAAATTCCCATGTGAATCAGTTATTTGAAAGTTGATGTCATTTTCTCTGAAATGAGGCTTTTTTATGTTTGTGATGAATATATATGAATACTATATATTTCTTTTATCACTTTTCATTTTTGCACATATATGCATTTTCATCTGGGTGATAGTCCTCATACAGTTCCCACCATGCTTGTTTTGGTCCTACTGCTTTCTCTCCCCGCTGTAGTGTGTTCCTGGTTTATAGCTGCTTGTTAATTTTGACTTTTACTTTATTATAATTAGTCTTTTTCCTGGTCCCTTATTTAGGTTTTTAAAAATCCTGCTATGAATGAGACCATCAGGTAGTTTTATTTTTCTTTCTGGCTTCATTGAGCATGATCCCTTCCTGCTCCATCCATGTTGCTGCAAATTCCATGAGTTTATTTTTTTTGATTGCTGAGTAATATTTCATTGTGTATATGTACCACATCTTCTTTTTTTTTTTTTTTTTTTTTTTTTCTAGAGGCATGTCTTATTTATTTATTTATTTATTATTTGTTTGTTTGTTTGGTTTATACATGCACTGGGTACAGTCAGAAGCGCGGGAGGGTGAGAGAATTCACCAGAGCCAGAGCGGGGAGCAGAGCAGGCAGAAGGACCGAAGTACACTGCTGAGGGGAGCAGCGGGCGGCAGGAGAGGTCTGCTCGCCATGTGGGACCCTCCTCCGATGGCCGGGGAGCAGCCGGATCGAACCGGCTGCAGAGGCTGCAGGCAGCTTTGCAACCCAGCGCTCAACCGCTGCGCCACCGGGAGGCCCTGTACCACATCTTCTTGATCCAGTCATCTAATTTTGGGCATTTGGGTTGTTTCCATAGCTTAGCTACTGTTAATAGTGCTGCAATAAACAGAGGGCTGCAGGTACCCTTTTTGAATTAAGGTTTCTGTGTCCTTTGGGTAAATACCTAGGAGTGGAATTGCTGGATCTTTAGCAGATTGAGGAACCTCCACACAGCTCTCCATAGTGGCTGGACCAGTTTGCACTCCCACCAGCAGTTTAGTAGAGTTCCTTTTAATCCACACCCTGGCCAACATTTGCTGTTTTTTTTAAATATGTGCCATTCTCACTGGTGTAAGATGGTATCTCATTGTAGTTTTGATTTGCATTTCCCTGATTACAAGTGATGTTGAACATTTTTTCATATGCCTGTTGGCCATCTGCATTTCCTCTTTGGAGAAGTTTCTTTTTAGCTCTTCTGCCAATTTTTTGACTGGGTTATTTACTTTTTGTTGAGTCTCGCTAGCTCTTTATAGATTTTTGTGATCAGTCCTTTATCATTAGTGTTGTGTGCAAAAATTTTCTCCCAATCAGTGGGGTGTCTCTTAGTTTTGGTTATTATCTCTTTTGCTGTACAGAAGCTCTTTAATTTGATGTAGTCCCATCTGTTTATCTTTGCCTTCACTATCACTGCTTTGGGTGATGTGTCTTTAAGATGTTACTGAGGTGTATTTCATGTAGTGTTTCACCTGTATTTCCTTCTATATCGTTTATGGTTTCAGGTCTTATGTCTAGTTCTTTAATCCATTTTGAGCTGGCTTTTGTGCATGGTGTGAGGTAGTAGTCAAGCTTCATTCTTTTCCATGTAGCAACCCAGTTTTCCCAGCACCATTTATTGAACAAACTTTCTTTGTTCCAGCGCATATTCTTTGCTCCTTTGGTCAAGATTAGTTGACCATAAATCTGTGGGTTTATTTCTGGATTTTCTATTTGGTTCCATTGGTCCGTGCTGTCTATTCTTGTTCCAATACCATGCAGTTTCGATTAGTATGGCTTTGAAGTATAATTTGAAGTCTGGAAGTATGATACCTTCATTTTCTTCTTTTTTTCAGGAGAGCTCTGGCTATTCGGGGTTTTTGGTGGCTCCATATGAATTTCATGTGATGAATATTTTATATCTGTCAAAAAGTTAATGACTCAAGATTTAACTATGATTCTTTACTACTATTCCTGACTCAGTATCTAACATCATTTCTAGTGGAATTTATTAAAATTAATTTCAATATGTAGGAACCCATTGCTCTTGAGCAATCTAATCTCTAGATTCTTTAGTCCCTCTACCACATCTGTACTCTTTAAGAATCATGGATGCCTTTCCTGCGCTGCAAATCTGAGTCAGTGGCTCCATCCATATTGATGAGTTTGGGTTTGGGGCATCAGTCTCACATAGAGATAGAACTCTGGAAGATTATGATAGATCTAGGCTTACTAGCGCCACTGTTTTCTGCTGAGGCCTGTTCTGCTCTCTGTCCACCATGATTATTATGTATATTTTATAAATTTCTTTTACACTCTTTCCTCCAAATAGGTTTTACTCCTCCCTTAACCTACTCTAGTATAGTCTTATATAAGGCAATCTGACCATTTCTAAGAGTTTAGCTGCTAGTAACTAAGGGTTAACTAAGAAGACCCTTTCTATATAGTGTGTCTTTTTCAAAGGACAAGGAATATTACACAGAAAAAGAAGTTTTGAGAGGATTTGCACCCCTAAGTGAACACCCCAAATTTCAAATCTTTGCATGTATATTTATGTATTTGCATGGATGTGTGTGTTTACATGTGTATCTATTCATCATATCTCACTTTGCAGAAGAGTATCCTTCGGAGGCTGAGGGTGTGAAATCACTCCAGGCAGTGCTAAAGGATTACAAACAAAAATAGTTAGCCATCATGTGACCTCTAGACTCACTTTTTAAGTTCAAATTAGCTAAAATTTCTCCTTATCTTATAAGCTGATTCTAAGAAAATTCACATGGAAATAACTTACCTAGAATCTAGTAACTCATTTTCCCCAAAACAATGCTCTATGTGTTTATAGTAAGTGTTTTAGACTATCAAAAAAGTTACCAACTCAAGAGTTTAGTATAGTTCTTTACTGATAAACCTCACCCAATGGATAAAAACTTTTGTGATAGAATTGGTACTTCAAATTCAACTTGAATTAGCAGGCACATGTTCCTCTTCTTCTATCTAATGAACTTCCTCTCAAGTTCCTCCCTCATTCCCTTGCTTGCACTTATCATGATACTTCATGTCCCTCCACATGATCATGGGTTTGTGTTTCGGTTATCAGTCTCACTTGGTGACAGAACTCTGGAAGGTAATGGATAGATCTAGACTCATTTGCTCAATACTTTCCTGATGTATTTTCTGCTCTGATCCTTTTCCACCACTCTTATTAGCTATATTTTATGACTTTCTATTATATGTTTTGCTCTAAATAGGTTATTCTCCTCCCTTGACCTTGCAATCTGATCATTTCCTAAGAGTTTAGCTGCCATAGTTAATGGTAAAGACTGAGAGTAAAAAGACCCAATCTAAATTGTGTGCCCCTTTGTCAACCTCAAATTCAAAAGACAAAGAATATTAAATAAAAACAAAGTTATGGGAGGATTTGCTCCCAAAGCAAACATCCCAAATCTCAAATCTTTGCATATGTATGTGAGTCTGCATGAATGTGTGTGTACATACATATATATATTCTTATTATACATATATAGTATATATATTCTTCATATATCACTTTGCATTATTGTGTCCTTCAGAGGTTGATGGTGTGAAATCGCTCCAGGCAGTGCTAAAGAATAAAAAAACAGACATAGTTAGATATCACATGACCTTTATCATCACTTTTTAATTCAAATTAGCTAAAATTTCTCTTGATCTTATAAACTGACTCTAAGAAAATCATATACAGGCAATCTGATCATTTTCTAAAAGTTTAACTGCAAATCACTTACTTGAAATCTATTATCTCTTTTCTCTGTAGAAATAATGCTCTATAGTTTGTAATAAATACTCTAGACTATCAAAAAGTTAATGACTCAAGAATTAAGTATAATTCTTTTTTTTTAAAAAGATTTATTTATACAAGCACTGGGTACAGTCAGAAGCGTGGGAGGGTGAGAGAATTCATCAGAGTCAGAGAGGAGAGCAGAGCAGGCAAGGAGCAGCGGGCAGCAGGAGAGGTCTGTGCGCCATGTGGGACCCTCACCCGGCAGGTGGGGATAGAACCGGCTCTGCAGAGGCTCAAACACTGTGCCACCGGGGAGACCCTAAGTATAATTCTTTACTGCTAAACCTCACCCAATGGTTAAAGCCTTTTGTGATAGAATTTACTTTTCAAATTCAACTTGAATAGCAGGTGCACATTCCTATTCTACCTATTTCCCTGCCTATAAAGTTCCACCCTCACTCCCTTGCTTGTACTTATAACTGTCTTTCCAGGTCCTTACACAGTGTCAAGTAACTATGGGCCTGAGTTAGGACCCCCTCCACATGATCATGTGTTTGGGCATCAGTCTCACAGAACTCTGGAAGTTAATGAATAGATCTAGGCTTACTAGCTCCATACTTTCCTGATGAGACCTGCTCTGTCCCTGTCTACCATTCTTATCATTTATATTTTATAACTTTCTATTTTATTCCTTGCTCTAAACAGCGATTTCTCCTCCCTATACCTACTTTGTTATAGTCTCATATACAAGCAATCTGATCATTTCCTAAGAGCTTAGCTGCAGTAACTAATGGTAAAGACTAAGAGTAAGACACTATCTAAATTGTGTGCCTCTTTGTCAAACTCAATTCAAAAGACAAAGAATGATACCAAGAAAAAGAAGGTTTGAGAGGACTTATTGCCCAAAGCAAACATTCCAAATTCCAATCTTTGTATATATATATGTTAGTTTATATATTTGTGTGTCTACACATGCATTTATTCATCATATCTCACTTTGGAATAGAGTGTCCTTCAGAGGATTCTGCTGTTACTTCACTCCAGGTAGTGCTAAAGGATTAAGAACAGACATAGCTAGACATCACATGACTCTAGATTCAACTTTTAAGTTCAAATTAGCTATAATTTATCTTGATTTATAAACTGACTTCTAGAAAATCCACATGCAAATCACTTACTTGGAATCTAGTATCTCATTTTCCTAGAAATAATGCCCTATATTTTGTAATAAATACTCCAGATTATCAAAAAAGTTAATGAGTCAAGAATTAATTAATTATAGTTCTTTACTTCTAAACCTCACCCAATGGATAAAGTCTTTTGTGGTAGAATTTACTTCAAATTCAACTTGAATTAGCAGGTACATGTTCTTTTTCTACCTAACTCTCTGCCTCTCAGGTTCCTCCCTCACCCACTTGCTTGCACTTATGACTAGCTTTCAAGGTCCTTAAACAGTGTCAAGTAACTTTGGGCCTGACTCAGGGACTTGCTGCACATGATCATGGGTTTGGGCTTGGGGCATCAGTCTCACTCAGTGACAGAACTCTGGAAGGTAATGGATAGATGTGGACTTATTAGCCCCATATTTTTCTGATGGGGCCTGCTCTGTCCCCTTGTCCACCACTATTATTAGCTACACTTTACTTACTATAAGTAGCTCTATCTCCTTCCTTGACCTGCTCTAGTATAGTCTCATATACAGGCAATCTGATCATTTCCCAAAAGTTTAACTGTTAGACCAAAAGTGAAGGTTCTCTTTATATTGTGTGCCTCTTTGTCAACTTCAGTTCAAAAGACAAATAATAAAACTGAAAAAAAGAAGTTTTGAGAGGACTTGTTCCCCAAAGCAAACATTCCAAATTTCAATCTTTGTATATGTGTGTGGGGGTCTGCATGGATGTGTGTCTGCACACATATTTATTCATCATATCTCACTTTGCATTAGAGTGTCCTTCAGTAGTTGATGGTGTGAATTCACTCCAGGCAGTGCTAAAGGATTAATAAGACATTATTAGACATCACATTACTCTAAATTCACTTTTTAAGTTCAAATTAGTTAAAATTTCTTTCTGACTCCTAGAAAATCCACATGCAAATCACTTAGTTTGAATCTTGTATCTCATTTCCCACAGAAATAATGCTCTATGTGTTTATAATAAGTATTTTAGACTATCAGAAAGGTTAATGACTCAAAAATTTAGTATTGTTCTTTACTGCTAATCCTCACCCAATGGATAAAAACTTTTGTGATAGAATTTACTTCAAATTCAACTTGAATTAGCAGGTACATGTTCCTATTCTTCTACCTAATTCCCTGCCTCTCAAGTTCCTCCCTCACTCCTTTGCTTGCACTTATCATGACTGTCTTTCCAGGTCTTTACACAGTGTCAAGTAACTATGGGCAGGGACTTACTCCACATGATTAAGGGTTTGGGTTTGGGGCATCAGTCTCACTCGGTGACAGAACTCTGGAAGGTAATGGATAGATCAGGACTAATTAGCCCCATACTTTCCTGATGAGGCCTGCTCTATCCCTGCCCATCACTCTTATTAACTTTACAAACTTTCTGTTACATTCCTTATTCTAGGTAGGTCTATCTCCTCCCTTGACCTACTCTAGTATAGTCTCATATACAGGCAATCTGATCATTTTCCAAAAGTTTAATTGTTAGACTAAGAGTTAAGACACTTTTCATAATGTGTGCCTCTTTGTCAACCTCAATTCAAAAGACAAAAAATAATACTGAGAAAAAGAAGGTTTGAGAGGACTTGTTCCCCAAAGCAAACAACCCAAATTTCAATCTTTGTATATGTGTGTGTGGGTCTGCATGGATGTGTGTCTACACACACATTTACTCATCATATCTCACTTTACATTAGCATGTCCTCCAGAGGCTGATGGTGTCATTTCATACAAGGCAGTGCTACAGGATTAAGAACAGACATAGTCAGACATCACATGACTCTAGATTCACTTACGTTCAAATGAATTATAATTTCTCTTGAACTTATAAACTGACTTAGAAAATCTACATGTAAATTATTTACCTAGTGTTTCATTTTCCCCAGAAATAATGCTTTATATGTTTGTAATAAGTATTTTAGACTATCAAAGACATAAATGAGACAAAAATTTAGTTCTTTACTGCTAAATGTCACCCAATGGGTAATAGCCATTTATGGTAGAATTAGTTTCTAATTCAACTTGAATTTGCTGGTATACATTCTACTTCTTCTCATTTCCTGTTTCTTGCATTCCTTCCTAACTCCTTTGCTTTCATTTATCATGGTGGTTTTTCAAGGTCCTTATGCAGTGTCAAGTAACTATGGACCTGAGTTAGGGACTAACTCCACGTGCTGATAGGTTTGGGTTTGGGGCACCAGCCTCACATGGTGTTTGAACTCGGGATAGCAAGTGACAGGTATTTTATGTCACATTTCATTGGTGGGGCCCTCATCGATTTCTGATTTCCATTCATTCAGGGCTTTGCTAAAGATTTAAAAAGTACATCTTTAGAAATCACATGTAATTCTAGACTTACTTTTTTTTTCATTCAAGTAGTTACAATTACTCTGCAACTTATTAACTGGTTGATCGTTCAAAATTCATGTATACATCACTAAGCTGAATATGGTACATTTTTTTTTTTACTAGAAATGAAGCTTTATATGGTCACAATTAATATCTTAGACCCGTGAAAATAATGATGCATCAAGATTTAAGTAAAGTGCTTTACTATCCCTCTAATTCCAGTGTGTAACAGCTTCTTGTAATGGAATTTATTCCAAATAAATCGAATTATTTCAATTTAACACCAGTTTGTAGTGTACATGCCTCTCACTCCATCTAAATTCCTGTTTCTCAAGCCACCATCACCTCCTTACTTTCACTTACCATGGTCATCCTTCTGTTATAGGACAGGGAGAGGCCTGTTACACTTCCTCCCCCTCAGACAGGGTTGAGAACTACAGGACTAAGTCAATGGCTTCATCCAAAATGAAGGTGGATTTTCATTTAAGGACCACCTTATATGGTGACAAAGCTCAGAGGGTATGGGAGAGATAAAGAGACTCCTCGTTTTCTGCTGAGGTGTCTTCTCTTCCCAGTTCACTGCTATCATTCTCCTTGTTTCCATATAGGACTCTCTCTTCACTAGTTTTATCTTATACATTGAATATTATTTCACCAACATGTATATGTTGAAGTCTTCTCTCCTTTATCTCGGAAAATCACCTTATTGAAATTAAGGCTGCCACAGAGATAATAAGTTAAGATATAGTCACACTAGAATTTAGGGTGGGCTCCTAATCTAATCTGTTTTCCTTATACAAAGGGAAATCATGGACACAGACACATTTACAGGAAGAATACCATGTGAAGGGTAAGGCTGAGATTAGAGTGATGAGTCTAGATACCAAGGAATAACAAAGACTGACAGCAACCATCAGAAGCCAGAAGAGAGGCACAGGATTGATTCTCCCCCACAGTCCTCAGAAGGAACCAACTCTGCCAACACCTTCATGTAATCTTCTAGCCTCTAGTACTGAGTCAGTAAATACCTGTTGTTTAAACCACTCAGTTAGTGCTATGTCACTACAGCAAATGAAGACAGGCCATTCTGGTAGATTCTCAGGCAATCTGACACTTTTCTAAGACTTCTGGCTGTTAGTCATTCAGCTAGAAAGAAGATGACTTTGTCTTCTGACCTATTCCTCTTTTATACAACTAGATTTAAAAAAGAAAGACTATTACATAGAGAGGTTGATACTGCAAATGCTTAAGAAACAGCATCCAAGGAACTCTGTATTGAATATTCTGTGTGTGTGTACGTGCGTGTGTATCTTTAGCTATACATTTTACCTTTCACTGACGACTTCCTTATTGTTTACTGATGTCAATTCTCTTGGATCAGCGCTAAAGGAAGAAAATGTAGAAGATCAAATACCATGTGACCTCATAGACTTACTTTCTTCATTCAAATTAGCTACAATTTCTCTGTAACTTATAAATTGACTGAATCCTAAAATATTCATGTGTGATTTGGTTATTTGGAAATAAGTATTTAATTTTTCCCTAAAAAAATGTTTATGTGATGGTAATGAAATTCTAAGGCCTGTGAAAGATTCCATAATGGATCAAGATGTTAAAAAATTTCTTTACTACTCTAACCCCAATTGCCTTTTGTGTTTGGATTTATTTCAAACTCAAGTGCAGTTTGTGGCACTTAACCACTTACCCTATCTAATTTTTTGATTACAGGTCTCCCCATCACTTCCTTACTCTTTATGCTTCATGGATACCTTTCCTGCTCCTAAGATAGTGTCAACTAACTGTAGGCCTGAGTCAGAGGATCCCTCCAATGCGATGGTAGATTTGGGTTTGGACACCAGTTTTACATAATGGCAGAACTCTGAAGAGTGAGGGATCCATACTGGTCTATTAGCTCCTTTATTTTCTGCCGAGGGCTACGCTGCTCCCTGTCCACTGTTACCACCTATTTAATTCCAGTAGTATCCTCTCCTCCCTTGGCCCATTCTAACAGACTGCCACACAGAGATATTCTGATAGTTTACTAAGGGCTTTGACTAGCTGTCCTTGACGTTCATAGACAGACCATAGACCTCCCATAGACCATGGTTCTCCCTCCTTGGACCTAATACTTCTTTTTCCATCTAGATCTAAAAATAGAAAAATTTACATGCAGAAGCTGACAGGCTATCATGGAAATTCTATATAGTCACCAATACTCCAAAGAGAAGTTTTCCCACTAACATGATAGAAAATAAACTGACCCATTATTGACATTCTGGCTCAAGGAGTCTACTAAAGTAGACACTGAGGAGTCTACTAAAGCATTCTTACTTCTCCCAAAGAACAACACTATTTTATATGTGTGTGTGCGTGCATACATATATCTATGCATACATATTTCCTGATAGAAATTTCAGCCAAGATAAGTAAAGTAAGTCATACATGAAAAATCCTGAGGACATATGTCAGGAACTGAAGGAACAGTGCTGGGTTACTCTGGGGACCTGCAAGTCAGCCCTGGGGTATGCGTGTTATACATGTACTGAAAACAGAATGAAGTAAGCAAGGGAGAGGCAGCAATGATGATTTAATGTCCTTCCTTTCTTCCCTTTTTCTCTACCATTTTGGTCATCACTGACTAAATTTGGAAAGTTAGCAAGCAAGAAAGAGACAGACAGTCACAAGAGTGTAGAGATGGGATGGATGGGGGATCCAGGTGACAGTTGGTGAAATGATACAGACAGAATGGAAAGAAAATGCCAGAACATTAAGAGTTTTAGTGGTAAGGGCTAGTTCCAGATCACTATTTGGTAGGACAGAAACAAGTAGTTAAATGAGGATCTGCCTAAATTATGGTTACAAGATTCTATGAATTGGAAGTATAGCATATGATTAGAATTATTCTTCCCTATAAATCTTTTTTTTAAAATAGACTTTACCTTCTAGAACAAGTTTTAATTTATAGAAAAAATTAAGTGGAAGGTACAGAAAAGTTCCCTATCATTGCTTTCCCCACCCCATTTCTCCTCTTACTATCTTGTATACTTCTGATAGATATTACTACCAATGAACCTATATTGATGCATTATGGTTAACTAATATCCATAGTTGACATTGTTGTTCACTCTAAGGGTCTATTGGTTTTACCGAATGTATAATGTTATGTATCCACCATTAAGCATTATACTGATTTCACTAAAAATCCCCTGTGCTCTACCTATTTCTTCCCCTACCGCCATCCTAACTTCTGGAATCCTTGATGTTTTTTTTACTGTCTCTACAGTTTTACGTTTTCCACAGAAACAGATCATTGAAATCTTACAATATTTATCTTTTTCAGACAGCTTTCACCTAGCATTTAGGCATTTAAGACCCCTCTATTTCTTTTTTGTGGCTTGATAGTTTATTTAATTTTTAAATTGCAAATAAGATTTCATTATATATATATATATATAGGTATCATTGTTTACCTATATACCTATGATATTTTGGTTGCTTTAATTTTGAGAAATTATCATAAAGATGCTATAAAAATTTGTGTGTGAATTTTTTATATAGTTTTTACATCATTCTTCATTTTTGTACAATGTATGCTTTTTCATCTTGGTTATAGTCCCTGTGAAATTCCCACCACCCATTCACCCATGCACCACCACCATAGTCCCTTGTGCTCTTCCCACCCCTTTTTGATCCTAATCCCTCCTGTAGAATGTCTCTGGTTTATAGTTGCCTGTTGATTTTGATTTTTACTTTATTATAATTACTTTTTTTCCCTGATCCCTTATTTGGCTCATCTACATTCCTCCTAAAAGTGAAACCACCTGGTATTTTTCTTTTTCTTTCTGGCTTATTTCACTGAGCATGATCCCTTCCAGCTCCATTCATGTTGCTGCGAATGGCATGAGTTTACCTTTTTTGATTGCTGAGTAATATTCCATTGTGTATATGTACCACATCTTCTTGATCCAGTCATCTATTTTTGAGCATTTGGAGTGTTTCCATAGCTTACCTATTGTAAATAGTGCTGCAATAAACGTAAGGGTGCAGGTGTCCTTTTGAATTAATGTTTTTGTGTCCTTTGAGTAGATACCTAGGAATGGAATTGCTGGATCATATGGAAGCTCCATTTTTAGCAGTTTGAGGAACCTCCATATAGCTTTCAAAAGTGGTTGGACCAGTTTGCACTCCCACCAGCAGTGTAGGAGAATTTCTTTTTCTCCACATACTCGCCAACAATTGTTGTTGCTAGTTTTTTTTTTTAATATGTTCCATTCTCACTAGTGTGAGATGATATCTTATTGCGGTTTTGATTTGCATTTCCCTGATTACAGTGATGTTGAACATTTTTTCATTTGCCTGTTGACCAATTGCATTTCCTCTTGGAGAAGTGTCTTTTTAGCTCCTCTGCCCATTTTTTTGACTGGGTTGTTTACTTTGTTTTTGTTGAGTTGTGTAAGCTCTTTGTAGACCTTTTACATCAGTCCTTTATCAATTGTATGGAGTGCAAATATTTTCTCCCCATCTGTGGGGTGTCTCTCTTGCTGTACAGAAGCTTTTTAGGTTGATGTAGTCCCAGCTGTTTATCATTTCCTTCATTGTCTTTGCTTCTGGGTATGAGTTCTCAGATGTGTTTCTGAGATGTATGTAATGGATTGCTGTCCCTGCTTTCTTCTATATATTTTATGGTCTCAGGTCTTTTTTTATCAATTTTGAATTGGTGTTTGTGTGTGGTGTGAGGTAGTAGTCTAGTTTCATTCTTTTGCATGTAGCAGTCTGGTTTTCCAGCACCATTTATTAAAGAGACTACTGTTGTTCCAGTGCATAATCTTTGCTCCTCTCATAATTAGTTGACCATAGATGTGTGACTTTATTTTTGGGTTTTCAATTCGATTCCATTGGTCTGTGTGTCTGTTTTTGTTCCATATACTCTGTTCTTTTGATCTGTTTTTTTCTTTTACCAATACCACACTGCCCTGATTACTGTATTTTTATATTAAGACTTTAGCTGAACTATTTATAATAAGTACAACCTGGAAACGACCCAAATGCCCCAAAATAGATGACTGGATCAAGAAGATGTGGTATATATACACAATGGAATATTACTCAGCAATCAAAAAAGATAAACTCATGCCATTCGCAGCAATGTGGATGGAGATAGAAGGAATTATGCTCAGTGAAATAAGCCAGAAGGAAAAAGAAAAATATTGGATGGTTTCACTTATAGCAGGAATATAGAGGAACCAAATAAGACATCAGTGTAAAAAAATAATAACAGTACAAAACACAACAAAGCAAAAACAGACAATTATAAATCAGAGACATACTGCAGGGGAGGAGGAGGGAGAGGGATCAAAGGGAGGGAGGGAGGAGCACGAGGACTGAGGTGATGGTGCACAGGTGCACTGGGGAAGGAAACTCTATGGGGACTACACCTGAGGGGGTGGGAGGAAGCAAATATTGTTTAAAAATGAACAATGATGTAAAATATTAAATTAATAATAGAAAATAAAATTAAAAAATAAAAGACTTTAGCTGAGTAATTTGCAGCAACATGCATGGAGCTGGAAGGGATCATGCTCAATGAAATAAGCCAAAAAGAAAAAGAAAAATACCAGATGGTCTCACTCATAGCAGGAATTTAGAAAACCTAAATAAGGGACCAGGAAAAAGACTAATTAATACAAAGTAAAAATCAAAATCAACAAGCAACTATAAACCAGAGACACACTACGTGGGATGGAAGGTGGTGGGGAGAAGGGAGTAGGATCAAAACAAGGGGCGGTGGGAATTGTTTCTTTTGTTTTTGTTTTTAATTTTTTTTTAAGATTTATTTATTTATTTATACAAGAACCAGGGTACAGGCCAGATACGCAGGAGGGTGAGAGAATTCACCAGAGACAGAGCAGGGAACAGAACAGGTAGATGGACGAAATACACTGCTGAGGGGAGCAGCGGGCGGGACAGGAGAGGTCTGCAGCAACATGTGGGACCCTCGCCGGCCAGCCGGGATCAAACCAGCACTACAGAGACTGCTGATAGCCTCACAGTGTGGCGTTCAACCACCTGTGCCATCAGGCGAGGCCCAAGGCGGGTGGGAATTGTAAGGGGGCGATAACCAAGATGAAAATGCATACATTGTGCAAAAATGAAAAATGATGTAAAAATATATAAAAGAAAAAAAGACTTTAAATGTGTATTAACAGTCCTTTGATCTTTCTTCTTTAATATTGTGTTGGCTATTCTGCATCTTTTGCATGTCCATCTTTAGAGTCAATTTAATGATATCCAAAAAATAACTTGCCAAGCTTTCGGGTTTGATTGCATTGAATTTACAAGTTGAAAGAAATGACATCTTGGCAATACTAAGTGTCCCTATCTATTAACATAGATAATCTCTCCATTTATTTATTTTATTTCATTTATTTTATTTCATGAGAAATTTGTGGTTTTATAGATCCTGTTCATATATTGTTAGAGTTATACTATTTCATTTTTGTTTTATAAAATTAAACTAATATAAATGCTATTGTACTTTTCATTTCAAATTCCACTTGTTCATTACTGATGTACAATGATTAACCTTGTGTCCTGCAACCTTGCAATAATGCTTATTCATTCCAGAAGTTTATTTGTTAATTTTTTGGGGTTTTCTACACAGATAATATATGTCATCTGTGAAAAAAAAGTCATTTCTTCCATTTCAATCTTCATAATTCTAATTCCTTTTTATTGCATTATTTATGATTTACAGTATGATCCTGAAAAGGAACAGCTTGGGGGGCATTCTTGCAATGCATGTGATCTTAATAGAAAAACTTTGAGATTTACAACTATCAAGTATAATTATACTAAAAGTATAATGATAGCTATGTAGATGTTCTTTATCAAGTTGAAGAACTTCCCCTCTATTCCTGGTTTTCTGGGCATTTTTATTATGAAGAAGTGTTTGATTCTGTCAAATTTTTTTTTCACCTACCGACATATAATTTTTCTTCTTTATCCTGCTGATGGAAAGAATAACATTAATTTACTTTCAAGTACTGAGGCAGCTTTGCCTACTTGGGGTGATTCCAAATTTGTCTTGCTGTATAAACTGTATATTTATACAGCATACAGTATATAAACTTTATATACATTATAAGATTAAAGTTGTTAATATATTCCTTAGAATTTTTGTCTTATGCATAAGAAATATTGGTCTGTGGTTTTCTTTTCTTGTAATGTCTTTTTATTCTCTGGAACAGGATTTAGAGAATTTATATCATTTGTTCCTTAAATGTTTGGGAGAATTGACCAATGAAAACATCTAGTTCTAGTTTATGTTTTAAAAGATTAGTAACTATTAATTCAATGTCTTTAACAAATAAAAGTCTGTTCAGATTATCTATACCTCTTTTATGAGTTTTGGTAGTGTCTTTAAAGAATTACTGTTTCCCATAAGTTATCAAGTGGGCGCTTGTTCAGAATATCCCATTGTAATGCAACCTTAGATCTCTCAAAAAAGCATGACAAGACAAATTCAAGTCTTTACTACTAAACTTAACTCCTATATGTAATTGCACTGAAATGGAACTTTCTTTTTTTTCCTTCTCTACTTATTATTTTTATTGAAGTAAGCTTTAAAGTTAAATTTTCCCCAAAATTTCCTCAAACCTCAAAATGCAACTTGAGTTTGTAGGTACACATTATTCCAGCTCTTCTAATTTCCTGATTATCAAGTTCCTCTATCACATCCTTAATCTCTATGTATTATATGTCTTTTCTGGTGCTCACTTGGGTTCAAATAACTGCAAATTTGAGGCAAGACTTTCCTAGAATATGGTGATTTAAGTTTGGAACACAAGCTTTAGATAGCAACAGAGCACTGGAGGGTGATGGACAGAGTGGAAGTCTACTACCTCCATTCATTTCTGTTGAGGGTGCCTTTGCTTCCTGCCCACTGCTGCCTCCTCCTTGCTCCAAGTAGAATTCTCTCTTCAGTTGGCTCACTTTAGTCAAGTCTCACACATGCATTCTGATACGTTCCTAAGAGTTTTGGCTACCAGTTACTAAGGATTAACAGACTATGAATAAAGAGTCTCCCTCAATAACCTGTGTTTCTTTCCACCTAGACCCCAAAAAGAAAGTAATTTAACTATAGAAACTATTATTGTCATTGATTCTCATACTATCTTTCACCACTCAGATCAGTCAAATCAACTTACCCCTTTCTGTCACCGAAGTCAGAGCCTGGTGGAGAGACATCCATAACTCTGCCAAAGAGTAAAAATAAATCAGACATTTGAGAAGTTAATTGGCTTCTTTTTCTTGACAGCATTTAAGGATATAAAAAAGGAAAATTATGAGGAAACATGACAGAACCTAAAAACACAGTTTCAGTATATAGGTGTGTGTGTGTGTGTGTGTGTGTGTGTGTGTGTGTGTGTGTTGTGTGTGTCTCTCATGGAAAGGGGAAGGAATGAAGGGAAGCCAGAAATAAGGGAGGAAAGGAAAATGGAGGGAAGGAGGAAGGAAGGAAGATAAAGATGATGGAAGAACATTCATGATTAAATTTTGCTTCTTTCCCATTTTGTCAACCATTTGTAAACTCTGAAATCAACTTGGGATACATGAAAGAGACCTGAAAGCATAGGGATGGGGGAGGTGAATCCAAGGGACAAGGAAAGAAGGGATACAGAAAAAGAAGAAAATAATGCCAGAACAATGAAAATTCCAACAACAAGGGCTAGCCCTTGGTTACCATTTTGTAGAGAAGAAATAACAAGGTAGTCAAGGATGACCTAAATGATGCTTAGGACATTTTTCTGAATTGAATGCAGAGCATGTATTCAAAATGGTGTTTTTTTCTTTTTATCTGAATACATTTTAAAAGGATACATGGTTATGTTATCTAAAATCAAGACTTTTTATCACCAAACCACTAACTTTGGTAATGTAATCTCTTTACAACTTCATTTCCTTATCTATAAGACACAGAAAATTCACTTTATACCTGTCAACTTTATAAAATCACATTGAATATCCTCCATTTCACAAATATTACTGGTTTTTACATAACCTACTCTGTTCACCAAATACTGAGAATAATCAGTATGTGAAACAATATAAAGTAAATCATATTTTAAATTTCAAAGATACTTTAAAATCCTCATTAATGTAATAGTCTCAATAACTTCCTAGAAAATCTTGGGTTCCTATCCAGAGGATAGACTTCCTCCCCAAACTACATAAGTCAAATTGAAGTATAGATCCCAAAAAAGTAATAACACACCCTGCAAGACTCCAGAGGAGTGATAGCCATCCCTTAAGTGGTAGACAGACTGAGGAGAAGGGCTGCCAGGCATAGTCTTGAGAGGCTCAGAGGGAAGGCAAATTATAAGTTCAGTATTTACCTTTTCCCTGAGTTGCTTGGAAACAATCACTGCCTTTCTCAGTAGAAACCAGGAGCACCTACCCAGATGTACCATAATTAGGATAAAATTAGGGTAGCATTAGGTTAGCTAATGAAAACAGGGAAGGGTGGAAAGACAATCCTAGACCTTCACATACACAGAGACACACACACTCACATACACACACACACACACACGCACACACTTCAAAGCCTAAGGTGACAATGTAGGGCAGCTATCTCCTCCAGTGCTTTTTTTATCCAGGACAAACCCTGAATAGAGGCCATGCCTGGTCATAGTATTTCATGACTCCTGAGATTCTCTGTCCCTGCCTCATCACCTCCCACCCTGTTAAACTTACTGAGAAAATACACATTAGCTTTCAATGGTACTAGCTTCCAAAGAAGGTAATTTTATGATGCCTTAGGCAAGCAGGTGACTTTTGCTGAGATAACAGCCTCAGACTGAGAGAGTACTGAGCAAACCTTTAGTTCTTTCCTAATACCAGTTCCAGACAGGGGCACCAAGAGCTACAAGGAATGTGAGCTCACGAGTCAAAATAACTAGGTACCTGAGGAGTATGTGACCAAAAAAGAAGTACAATGAATTGAACAACATATGCCATCCGAAGCAGAACTATATGAAGAGCATACTGACCAATATTTTGAAATAAGCAGGAGAAATACAATTAAAGCTAGAAGATGTTAGTAACATGAAATGAAAATAGAAATCATCAGGAAAAAATGAAGGCAATCTTATTTGTAAAAGTATAATTATTGAAATAAAGAATCAATTCATAGGATAAACAGTATTTTAGATGCATGTGAAAGGCAAATTATTATAGTTTGGCACTGAGAGATGAAATTTAAAAACTCTCCCAGAAGCTAGTAGAAAAAAGTCAAGAAGATATACAAAAAAAAAATTGTCAATCAACAAGGAGGAAAAACAGGTATCTGTATCTGGATTATAAGCATCTACAGATAAATGTAAAAAGAAATAAATAAGAGGAGAAAAATAATAAGGATAAATTTCCAAGGATGAAGGGAAGAATATCATAGAAATGATATTGTATCTAACACACATTTAAATGGCATTTAATAAGTGCCAGATATCATTCTGATTCATCACAAAATATTACTTCAAATGACCTCATTACAACCTTTGAGTTAGTCATTGTTATTAGTTTTATCCAATACATAGATCCTGAATATTCATATATTTCTCACATCCATGATGCTGATTTGTAAGCTATGAATTTCACTAATAAAAATCCACTTGTGACCTGTACTGTGGTAGCTAAGAATGCTCTAGGCATTGGTTGAGATGAGAGAAGAAGCCCTTGTTGTGGCCATCCCCTAGACAGGGCATCTTCCACTAGGAGATCTGTCATTCTTAGAAGAGAAGCTTAATGTGTGCGTGACTGGTACCTGCTTGTTATTACTTGCATACTGTCTAACCTGTGGTATTGTTAAGGAAATTACAGGCATCAATTAAGTCTTTAAATTGTGAGTATAATTTACATTTACTATGAAAGAGGTACTCATGTATTCCTTATTCTATTAACCAAGACGGAGAATTATTTTTAAAATTAGTAAATTTGAGTCTTCTCACTTACTTATTCGCTTTTAGACGCAAAAACGAGGGAGACATTTTCCTTAATTTCTTCATGATATTGTCTTGTAGTTGAATTAGATCTACAATTAATCTAAGAAAAGAAAAAACACATGTGAACTTTATACATAATGTGTTCAAAACACATAAGATATTCCCCTAATTAGAAAGTCACACACAGAGCTTACTAGGTATAATTAACATTTCTAAAGTCTTGAGTCCACAAACTTATGAAATCTATAACTCTGTGCAATTTTATCAATCCTGAGAAACAATCTGAATTTTCCCCTAGGAGTTTAGTCTAAGAAATAAAGAAAAATGTTTTTTGAATGGTTAATAAAATTTTGAATGGTTAATAAAATTAAATAAAATTTATTTAATTATTTAATTAATTACATTAAATTAAACTTACAAAGTACTGGACACTTCAAAGATTTCCTAAATGGGATCCAGAGAGTGGAACAGAACCCACTTCAAACCAATTTTACATCATCATGGTGATTTATGACATTTCCATCCTGAAATATTCTATAGAGAAAATCAAAGGCACAGGAAAGCAGAGGTGTACCCCTCAACATTTCAGAGCAGATTGATGTCATGCAAGGAAACTGAAAGTCACTGAAGAAGGAAAAGACATTGCCAAGTTAGCAAGTAACTTTATTTCTACACTGAAGCAGCCAGAAATGTGCCACAAGCACCTAAATTCTGAGCAAGGAGAAAAAATGAAAAACATGTTTTTTTCCAAAACAGTGTAATTTGAGCATAAATGTTGATTATGAGTTTGGGGCTTGGGGGTCAGTCACCCATCTTTGAGGAATACCAGCTCATGAGCAGTGGGGGTGTTACAGGGCAGCCCTGATACAAAACGGGTTGCCTGACTGTGGGTCCTCACCCGCGCTTAAAAGGACTTATCAATACTCTACTGCAGGCACGCACAAAAGGTTAATAAAAGGTTTATTTACAAGGGAAGGGCAAATGAGGAAATGTACAACTCAGGGAGAAAAGTGGGAGACAAAGTTTTAAATGCGTCCTACCCGATCCATTGATTTGGAATCCCAAATGGCTCTCTGAGAGTTGGCTGCAAGCCAGGAGCCGTGAAGCCAGGAGGCGAGCGAGAGAGCGAGAGCAACCCCTAGGCCCATGTGTTTGGTTTTTATACCAAACCTGGCTGCTTAACTCCACCCTCATGTTCTAGCAACCTTCCCTTTAGTGGTGATGGGATTTGTCTTTCCCAATGTCCTGATGGCTTTGGTCTGGAGTGGGGATGGAGTCCACAAAGCCTGTATGGAATTAGCTGAGGACATCCTTTCCCTCTAACAGGGGTAGGAACCCTAAAACTCCAAGGCTATGCCCTTCTGTTCCAGAGATGACTCAGAGAACAAGGGCAGGCTAAGGGAGAGGAGAATTTCTGGTCATTACCTCCTCCTTGCAAGCCTGATCCACTTGCAGATAAGGTTGCTTTATCCTAGGTGCTGCTGCTGGGAAGGGGTGGGGCACAATGGCGGCAAGGCACAGGATTTTGTGACTTGGGTTCAACTTTTCCTAAGTGAGAGAGAACTTTACTCAAGATCCTGGTAGCAGCTTTCTTTCCCATTGCCTTTCAGAATATTGCTTTTTCCTTTTCAATTGTCCCAGACAAAATCCCTTATTAGACCACCTACAAGGTTATTACTGTATGGTCAAACATTGGCCAATGCCAATTCTCCTTCCCCCTCCCATCTCCCTGAGGAGAAGGGGGCTCTAGGAGGTTCCTGGGAGGGGAAAGGAACATTAATTGGTGCTCCTCAGAGTTGAGCACAGAACAAACCTTTCTCTTTCTGAGGCCCAAAGTCTCCCATCCTGCCAGGTTTCTCTACCCTTCCTCCTTCACTCCACCTGCCAGCTCTCACTCTAAAATGTTAAATTCTTCAAATTCACTGTGGGGATAAGAGGGCAACATTAGCTGACATTGAATGCAGAGGACGAGATGTGATGCCCTTGTCTAGAGACTCCCCATGCCTACATCTTTACCTGGTGCTGGGAACAAGCCAGTACAGGACTAAGAACTCTGTATCCATGGCAACTCCAAACAAGAGATTCCAAGTGGTCATGAGATGGGGAATACAATGATCTCGGTTTCAGAGTGCCAGGTTTTAAAAACAGATGCTGTTCTCTTTAAATATGGGTGCTGAGGGGGAAGGGATTCCAAGATCAAAAGATCCCAGGATAATAATTTCTTGCCTGTTACTTTTTCTTGTTACTTTTTCCTGTTCTTTTTCCTGTTACTTTTTCTAAATGATGGAGATAATTCTTATATATTCTTATTCTGACTGTTACATTGAACTTTCGGCTTCCTCTGTAGACTGGAGAGAATGGCAAGAGAAGGCTGAACCTTTTCTGGCTAATATTGAATTTTACTAAAATAACAAGATCAATGCAGGACTCAGTTTCAGTTATTGAAGCTATCATTTCATAGGACTGAGAGGAAGCAACCAAGTGTTACCTGTAAATTAAAAAAGATATCCATGCTCCTGGTAAAATAAATCTGAAAAGTGGAAACAAATGAAGATGTAAAGTTGTTAAAATGCAGGTGAAGGATTAGAAATTTCTATATAGAAATTACAATGTAAATTTTACCACAGAAAGAGGAATAAAGAAAGATCAATTTGACTGTGTTGTTGGTACATGTTCTGATGCTGAGTAAATGGTACAGTTGAAGATATGGGGGAAAAAAAGATTAGTCATATTGATTTTTTCTGTAAAACATTTTGCAAGACACAAAAATTTATAAAACACTGTTAGTGGCTTAAGGGTCAGGTTGATGAACTCAAGGTCAAACCACTCTGAAATAGCTTACCACATTCTATTTGTGAGATAGACCTGCCCTAAAGAAAAACGTTATCAGAGCCTTATCTGACCAAGGGGAAGGACAATAAGACAAATCCTAGCCTAAGTTCCCAGACTTTGATTCTTTATGTATCCTCAATTTTTGTGTGTAAAAAACTGGGTTTCTAAAATAATATAGCAAGTGGAAATCTGCTTTTTCCCTTCCCAGCATTTACTGCTGATTTTTTCTTTTTTTAGTGACTTCCTTGAACTAATTCTATAAACTTGATTTGTTCAATGTGACCCCTGAAATCAATTAGTTAGCATAACGCTCAGCTAATAATTGGACAGAGATTTCCTCCCATGCCTAGAACCATTAAGTCTCACGACTGTGAAAACGGCCCATAACAAAATGTCCAGAAACAAAAGTATTTTCAAGGATGTGGAGAAAAAAGAACCCTGTATACTGTTGGTCGGAATGTAGACTGGTCCAGCCTCTATGGGAAACAGGAGGGCAGTTTCTCATAATATTTAAAATAGATTTTCCATATGATACAGCCATTCCACTCTCAGGTTTGTATCTACCTGAACACTGAAAATATACCAATTCAAAGTGGTATATGCATCCTATGTTCATTGCAGCACTATTTCCCATAGCCAAGTTATAGAAACAACCTAAGTGCCCAAGGACATAGTGGTAGATTAAGAAAATTTGGTATATGTATACAATGGAATATACTTAGCAATAAAAAAAGCTGAACTCTTGCCATTTGGGACAATATGGAATTGAACTCGAGGGGATAATGCTAAGCAAAGTAAGTCAGAAGGAAAAAGACAAATACTAGATGGTTTTGCTTACATATGGAATGTAGAGAAACAAAAGATCAGACAAAACCAACCAACCTAACAAACAAGCAAAAAAAAAAAAAACCATCTAGAAATCTGACTGTAGATTTGAGGCTACCAGAAAGGGAGAGCAAAGTGGAGAAGGGACACAATGGACTATGGTGGAGGACTGAGTGCCTTGGCGGTGGGCTGGTGTGGTGATATGCATTTGAAGAGTGTGATGCTATGCCTCTGAATCATACACAGTGTTGTAAACAAATGTTACTTCAGTAAAACATAAAATATAAAAATAAAGATAAACGAAAAGATAAACTTTGAAAAAAAACTATATGTTGACAAAGTGAACCAAGAAGTCTAATTTGGGTTACTTGTGGGAAATCAAGGTTGGGAATGCTTCACAAGCAATTGCATTTGAGTTTGAAGCTCAGAGGATAAGTAATAAGCACTGATAACTAAATCCTTGAGTGGACAACTCACACAAGGAGATTGTTGAAAGAGAAGAGCAGCTGCCCGTAAGTAGATCCTTAGGGGAGGCTAGAACCTGAAATTCAGGAAAAGCCTGGTGTGTTTTGGAATAAGATAGTTTATAAGCAAAAACAATTCAGCAGAAAATGTAAAGCAAATCTCATGATATCAAGATACTGAAAACCACCTAAAAGTCAAAGAAACTGATATGTTAATAACCAGAGACTATCACAGTTATATAAAATGATGTACAGGAAGAGTTTACAGAAACATAGCATATTTATGATGAAATGTTAAGGTTTTTTTCACCTTTATTTTTAAACCTATGTATTAGACAATAATCTAAAAAAAAACACAACACCTAGAAAGAAATTCACATATTAAGAGCAATTTTTTCAAATTACTAAATTCTCTATAGTATGTTTATGCTTGGGGAAACAACTGTTAAAAATGCATTTCCCCACAATGAGATGGCACTTCAAAGTAGGATGCCGATAAAGTAAAAGACAGCCAGGACCAAGTGTTGACAAGGATAGGAGAAACTAGAACCCTCTCATTCATTGGTAGTGGGAATGTGAACAGGTGCTATCACTTTGGAAAACATTTCAGCATTTCCTTATCTGGTTAAACAAGTCACCATATGACCCAGTTCCATTCCTAGGTACTTATCCAAGAGAAATAAAAACTTACATTCCCACAGACTTGTACATGGATGTTCATAGCAGTATCAAATTAGACAAACAGTAGAAATAATCTAAAGTTAAATTATCTGATGAATGATTGTTTAAAACATAGGATAGCTATACAATGTAATATTATTGGGCAATAAAAAGGGAATGAAGTATGGACATAGGCTGCAAGTTGGATGAACTTGGAAAACATGCTGTGAAACAAACCATAGATAAAAAAAAATCACAAACTCTAGGATTCCTTTTATATCATATGAGTCTCTACAGACAGAAAATACCTGAGTGTTTGCCTAGGCTTGGGGTGGAGGGAGGGGAGAAAAAGGGAAGACCATACTAGGGATGGGTTTTGGCGGAGGAGGTAATGAAAAAGTCCTAAAATAGCGATGATGGCTGCTTAACTTTGTAAATATACTAAGAACCTTTGAATGGTGCACTTTAAAAGAGTGAATTGCATGCTATGTGACTTATATCTCAATAAAGCTTTTTTAAAAACTCATTTCCAGAATGACACGCAGTAGGCCCTCTATAGGTGCAATGCAGCAAATGCAGAATGAAAGCAGCGGTCTTGGGAGGAGGAGGGAGGCGCACAGGGGACTGAGGTGATGGTGCACCGTTGCACTGGTGAAGGAAACTCTACGGGGATACACCTGAGGGGGTGGGGGGAAGCAAACATTGTTTAAAAATGAAGAATGATGTAAAAAGAATTTTTTAATTAATTAAAAAAAAAAAAAGGCAGATTTCTGCCTCAGTGCACAGCCTGCCGCGCAGGCCCGCAGCTGGAGGCGTCCCCACAGCGGGGAAGAGGCCGCCCGGGAGACTGCAGGGCATGTAATGGGAGGGATCTCAGGGATAGCCTTGTCTCTGGCCTTCACCCCAGCTCCCACACATCTTTCCTGCTGGCTCCGCTAAGGGCACCAGGAAACTGAATGAGGAAACAGTCTAATTTGAGCAGAACTGGGGGTATCCACCACATTCTGGATATGGGTCCTTCAAAGAGAGCTTGGAGAACCTACACCTCAGCCTAGGGGGAAAGGCAGAGGCTGCTCCCTGTCCTGCCCAAGGCTGCAGTCTCTCGGGGTTAGAGGAGAAACAATGACAGCAGGGTCACGAAAGACGTCCTCAGCTCCGGTGCTGTCCAGTGCACCTTGCTTGTTCTCTCCCGGCCTCACTGCAGCTCTATTAGGTATTAACTTCTCGTGAAATCCGGGCCTCGGTTCCGCCACTCACAGAAGCGGCGACGGCGAGCACCGAGTGGGGGTCAGTAAACTGCAGCCATTATCACTCCCTACGTCACCGTCTCCGTGGAGCTCCAGCACCCAGGGCCGCACCTCGTGCGCGGACCTTCGAAGTCTGAAGCCACTCCCGGGCCTCGCAGCAGAGCTAAGGCGAGGCAGTGGGAAAAGCCCCTCAGCCAGCACAGGCTAAAGGGACCCTCGGGAATCCAGAAAACCTGCCCGTCCCGTCCCGTATCTGGCATGTTATGAACCTAATTTTTGTCTTAGGAAAGAAACGAAGGCAGAATTCAGTTTCCTCATGTGAAGTCTGGAAACCTCCACCAAGAACCTGGAAGACACATGGCCGCGTCCGCCCCGCCCCCGCGTCCGCCCCGCCCCCGCGTCCCGCCCCGCGTCCGCCCCGCCCCCGCGTCCGCCCCGCCCCGCGTCCGCCCCGCCCCCGCGTCCGCCCCGCCCCCGCGTCCGCCCCGCCCCCGCGTCCGCCCCGCCCCCGCGTCCGCCCCGCCCCCGCGTCCGCCCCGCCCCCGCGTCCGCCCCGCCCCCGCGTCCGCCCCGCCCCCGCGTCCGCCCCGCCCCGCGTCCGCCCCGCCCCCGCGCTCACTGGGCGGGGCTTCTTCCACTGGTCCGTTCTGTGGCTCTTTGATTCATTTTCCCTAATGGTTGCTGAACACCAAGCACTGTTAACCGCCAGATGCGGGATCAGGGAGGGAGAGACAGGTCCTAGTCCTCGGGGAAGACGGATAAACGAAACCAAAAGTCACAACACAGTGTGAAAATCGCTAGGATGAAGGAAGGAAGGGAGAAGGAAAGTCTCCCAGAGGGAACCTTGTTCCACAGTGAAAGGAAGGAAAGAAGAAAGGGGAGAAAAGAAGAAGCCTGGTCAAAGGTTTGTCGATGGAAAGTTGTGTCACCTGATGGCTGCTCTGTGAGGCGGGGCTGCAGCCCGTCTGCTGAGGGAACAAAAGCTGAAGGAGAGTAGAGAGTGTGGAAGTACTTTTGAGAAGGGTGGACGAGACTAAGGGGGCCACGATGTCTATCCTCCCAGGCAGGAGCTTTCTCTGTGAGTTCACCAGGGCTGAACACCACGTGTCTTGCACATGAAGGTACTTAATATAAATGGAATGAATGAATGATTTTCACTTGGTGTTGGAATAGATCACTACTTGTGGCCATAGGTTTATCTTCGTGTGTGTGTGTGTGTGTGTGTGTGTGTGTGCAGGATAGACACTGAGCAGGTTTTCTGTGATCCCATGCAGACCCGGTAAAGGAGGAGTCAGAGTCCTCAGTGGCTTTTGCAGGTCTTTTATTTAGATTTACCAGGCATATGGCAGGCAGGGGTGCTGGGGGGCCGGGAGGCTGGCAGACCTCCCAGCCCCCAGCAAGTCCTCACTCTATCTGGGCTCTCTCTGGCGTTTTCTCTGCTTCTCTTCTCTCTCGGCTTCTGTTCGTTCTTGGCTTCTGCAGGCGTCCCCCTGACGCTGCCCTTATAAACTCAGTCTCTCAGCCCAGGTGTACCCACTCCAGGTGCCCGCCATCAGGCATGCATTCAGGACCACAGGGTTCCCTCATCTATCCTAATGGCGGGAGGGCAGAAAAGCCAGATACTTTTTCCTTACCCTACAGTGTGTCAGAGAGAGAGAGAGAGAGAGAGAGATTTTATCAAATAAGCTGAAAAACCTCCCTCTCCGCCTCTGCCTCGCCCTCTCCCGTCTTCATGCTTTTTAAGTAAACCTTTTTTGTTTTCTCTGCAGGTCTGCTTCTGCCTCTTGTCCCATGTTCTTAAGAAGCAGCTGTGTAGGCTATTCTCCCTCATATTTTTCTGTAAGTTTTGATCAGCTAAAGTCCGATGTATGAAACATGATTTTGGTCTTAAGAGCTTGGTTTCAACCTCCAACTTAGGATTTTTTTCTTCTGGGGGCCTGCTCAGAGGCATATGTTAGCATCTTCTATTGATATAATGTTGTTTTGTTTGAGAAATGGTGAGACTTCTACGTTGACCAGGAATCTGCTTGGGCAAATTCTGACGATTAACATGGCATTCATTGGACAGAGTACTCCAGATATAAAGAGGAAATTAATCAAGGTAGAAGGTGCTATACAGATGAGTCCTTTCCAATTAGTGGATATAGCCTTTAGAGTTTGTAATGCCAGAAAGGAAATCAAAGTCTGTGACTTTATTTGTAGAAAGAGAAGACAGGGGAGAGTTTAGAAGGAAGAGATAAGGGACATGGAGAGAAAGCATGAGAAATGAAACTTTAAGCAATCCCCCCTTCCTTTTATTTGTTAACTCCTATGTAAATAAATTCTGTTACTGGTTTTTTTTTTTTCCTGATCATGTGTCTGCTTTGCAGTCATGTCCTGCATTCTTAAGCCCATGAGTGAGTACCCATGGGTCAATCCCAGTTCCCTGGATTTGTCCTATTTCACTGAGAGTAGATCTTAAAGGTCCTTCTCCCCTTTTAATGTGTATCCTTATATATTGGTACCTTGTTTCTGTAGAAGATATTCTTATAAGTGGTGTTACTGCATCAAGTGATATGTGCATCTAAATAATGAAACCTAACAATAAAGTAAATATCTACAAACCCATGACCTCACACAGAATGAAAACATTTCTAATCCTAGGGTAACTACTGGAGGTTCCTCTCGGATCTATTCCGCATCTTCTGCAGGGAGGTGCCCATTCTTTCGAAGGTTTTGTTCCATCCTCCTTGTCTTTATTGTCTAGAAGACAGAAGATGATAGGTAGGTAGGAAGAAAGATAGGTGACTGATAGATAAATAGATAGATAATTTTGTTATATTTAATTTTAAGCTTTATGAAAGTGAATATAAATGGTGAAATGATTTACCTTGAAGCACATTTTGGTCACTTAATGTCATTCAATAACTATTAGTCAAGTTAAATTGCTGGTATTGCTTGCATAGCTTACAAAATATTATCTTCTAAAATATCTAAATAACAATCTGTGTTAAGTATCAATGACTTTGATTTTTTAAAAGTGTTGAAAGAAGGTGTAGTGGCAGGATGGCCAGTAAGCAGGTTTTCTGATCCAGCAGATGGGGTAAAGGAGAGTCTTGGAGCCCTCAGTGGCTTTCTCAGGCTTTTATTGAGCTGTTATATATAGAGCAGCAGCCAGGTACACGGCAGGCAGGGGTGAGGGTGGGGGGACAGGAAGCCAGCAGGTCCTCCAAGCCCCTGGCAAGTCTTCACTCTGGGCTTCTCTGGCTTTCTTTTCTTTCCTTCTCTCTCCTGCTTCTGCTTCTCTAGGTGACTATCTCAATACTCCTCCCATGGCCCACAGAAGTCAACAAGACAGCTTACAACAATGTAACAATTGCAGGTGCCCCATCAGACAGGGCAATCCTAATGGTGGGAGCGCAGAGAAACCTGAAAAACCATTTGCCATGCAGACTGCCTCCCTGGAGGCGCAAGGGGTTAAGCACAGCACTGTGAAGCTCTCTGCAGCCTCTCTGCAGTAGGAGTTAGATACCCGGGCACAGCACACACATGGCACAGCACACCTTTCCTGTCTTGCCCGCTGTTCCCCTCAACAGTGTGTTTCAGTAGATCCACCTGCTCTGTTCCCCACTCTGTCTCTGGTGACTCCTCTCACCCCCCATACCTCTGGCCTGTACCCTGGTTCTTGTATAAGTAAATCTTTAAAAAGATAAAAATAAAAGTGTTGAAAGAGAAGCTAATTGTAAATGCTTTTCATATATCCACATGATTTTCCAGTGACGTGACAGCCAAATATTTTTTTTTAAAGATTTATTTATTTATTTATACAAGCACTGGGTACAGTCAGAAGTGTGGGAGGGTGAAAGAATTCAACAGAGTGGGAAGGAGAACAGGCAGACTGACGAAGTACACTACTGAGGGGAGCAGCAAGTGCGGCAGGAGAGGTCTGCACGCCATGTGGGACCCTCAGCCGGGTATCGAACCGGCGCTGCAGAGGCTGCGGGCAGCTTCACAGGCCAGCGCTCAACCGCTGCCCCACCAGGGAGGCCCAACATCCAGATATTTTTTAAAATAGGTTATTTTGGCAAGAAAAAAATCGCTGAGCACTGGAAAATACAAAGCAGACACAATTCAAGGCTTTTGAACTTGGGGAAGTGTAGGGGCAGGACAGGCCACTGAGCAGGTTTTTTATGATCCAGCAGACGGGATAAAGGAGGAGTCAGAGTCCTCAGTGGTTTTTACAGGTCTTTTATTTAGATTTATCAGGCATATGGCAGGCAGGGGTGCTGGGGAGCCGGGAGGCTGGCAGTCCTCCCAGCCCCCAGCAAGTCTTCACTCTATCTGGGCTCACCAGCCTTCTCTGTTTCTCTCTCGGCTTCTGCTGCTACTTTCTCGGCTTCTGTTTCAGCTTCTGCTGGCGTCCTCATGACGCCACCCTTAAAAGCCCAGTCTCAGCCCAGGTGAATCCCATCTACCTATGCCCACACCCTACTCCAGGTGTCCGCCATCAGGCATGCATTCAGGACCGCAAGGATCCATCATCTATCCTGATGGCGGGAGGGCAGAAAAGCCTGACATTTTTTCCTTACCCTACAAGAATGAAAGATAATTTTCTATAAATAATTTGTCATGATTGTGTTGCTTATATGCAAAATAGGTATTTTAATTATTGTACTACCAATTTACTTCACTAGATGGCGATATGAGGCATAATAATTACAAATGCTTTCAAAAAGGAAAAAGAACCTGCTATTATTTTGAGAAAATAATTATTTGTAGAAGAAAAACTTTGATTTTAATACATCAGCTTAAAGGATATGCTCTTTCATGTAAGGAATTGTCAGCTCCAGTGAGGAACATTTGCTGAAGATTGGCAATGAGTAGTTTGCTGATGATAATTATCCCTCAATACACTGAGTCTACTCCTTCACTTATTTGCCTGTTCATTTGTTCAGTTTTTTATTAACTGACCAGGCATTTGTTAAGCATCTATGCCCAACCCTACTAGCACTGGTCTTTAGATATAAGGAGGGTTCAATCCCAGCCCTCAAAAAGCTTGCAGCACAGCCTCGGTCAAGTGGGCATAGATGACTATATAAACTATGATTTAGAGTACATTTGGAGTAGAACTACTGAATGGGTTAACAGAAGGTTCAGTGAAAGCAATGACTGGCCCTCATTGAGTAAGAGATGATGCCTGGAATGAGGCAGCAGGGTAAGTCAGAGACTGGATAAGTCAGAGACAGTCAAGGACGAGAAGACTATTGCAATAGTCCTGACAAAATTTGGCGAAGGCTTGAACCTAGGGAGTACCTGTGGGGATAGGGAAGAGATAATATACAAGACAGGGAAGAGGCAAAACAAGTTGAACTTAATGACTAAAGGATTATAGCTATCAGAAGAGAGGAAGAAATTTCCTAGATAGTTTAAGACAAGGAGTATAGAACTCAGGATAAAAATTCAACATGACCAAGAGAAATTGAAAATAATTTCAACAAAGCACTCTACTGGTATCTTAAACTATAAACTCTTTCCCCACCCTTTCACTCCTCTTGAAATCTTACCCCTTCTCTCTTTACCCTGGCATGGGAATTTGTGCATGCTGCCAAATGAGTCAGTCTCAACCTAAACTTGTGCTGACATGTATTAAATTTCCTATAAAAGTGGAGAACTAGTATATCATATCTCTTTATCTCCTTCTCCCTCTCTCTCTCACACACACACCATACACATACAGACAAGCACATAGAAAAAAGTGTTATTTCATTCAGTGGAAAAACAATCCTATGCTCATGACAAACTCCTAAGAAATTGCAGTGGTTAATCTCTAAGTGTTCCTAAGCCTTAGAATGGAATATGGGCCCTCCAGCAGGAGCTTAAGTCAAGATACATACTGATGTATCTAAAATAGTTTTCTAAGTGGTTTTTTAAAGTTCTATCATTTTATACAAAAGATAAGTAATATAGAATTCTAAAGCTTCTGTTATCATCTGCCTTTTAATTTCTACTGGTAACAAATTTATTTTCATTTAACACCCATATATTGAATTTTATCCATTTTAGACACAGTATAATGATAGATAATACATGCTTTATAAGTGTGTTAGACTCAGTGAGCTACTTCTTACTTGCCATGAATTCCCAAATCAGCCCAGCCAGTTGTTGGAGGCAACTTGAGAAAGAAAGAGAGGGAAGAGAAGTTAAAGTCACATAATCTTCCCTTCGGCAGAGTGTATTAAGTACCAGGGGAAAAATTAAACTTCAAAAATTCTTTTTTTGGTGTTTTTCTTTATTTTGCGTTTTTTTTGTTGTTGTTGTTGTTGATTTCTTTATATTAATTTAAACTTTGGAAATTCTGGCTTGCTTTGAAACTTTATTTTTTTAATTTACATAGAGGTGAAAGCAGAAAGAATTTAGATTTGTAGATATGAGTCTCACCCAGGGGTGTTCCCAGCCTCCCTTTCTAGATCTTCATCTATATCTACATCTTATCTGTCTATATCTATACCCTTATCTACACTCAAACCCACTTCAATATCTTCTCATCACATCTAGGGGATCTCAGAGGAGCATTGGAAGTAATCACAGGGCAATGCTGGACAACTGGAAAAAACTCCACAAGAGCAAACTTCACTCACCTTTACAGTATATATTTGAGAAAATTTATAAATGGTTCAAGTCAAAGTTGTTTACAATGTAAGATGAGCTGGTGGAAAGGGCATAAAAGGTTAATATTAAAAGGTCTTGCTTTAGAGGGTTCCTTGGAGAAGAGGTTGGTTCCAGGACTGGGGTAAGGAAAATCTAATTGCACCTGGATAATTTTGTGTCAGAGAAAAAGTAAGTCATCAAGGCAACAACCCCACAATGATGAGACTAATAAATGGGTATAGGCAACCCAAAGGAGTTCCCAATGGCCAAATTTGGAACAATTTAAACAACAAAACAGTATTATTGGACTAAAATGCTTAGAATAAATTAAGTAGCCATGAGTCTATAGTATCAATAAATATAAACTTTAAAATCATTACTAGGTAAATATCACAGTGATAATTGTTTCTGGTGAGATCTACTGAGAGGTAAGTGGGTGAAAGTTTGAAGAAAGTCAGGATGTTTGTATAGCCTCAAGGCTAGCAGAGTCTTCAAGATATTTATCAATTACAAAGTGAAAAATAGTAAATTGGTAATGGAGAAACCAGACTGTTACCATCTTTCCCAAATGTTCCTGGTTAATCTCACCTGAAATGGGATATATCAACATCATGTACTTCTCGGGAGGATACTTCACCTCTGTGGTATTCCTGCCAAAAATAAACAATCGATCCCTGCCGGCCAGCGATGGTCCCATATGTTATGGCAGACCTCTCCTGTCGTGCCCGCTGCTCCCCTCAGCAGTGTATTTCGTCAGTCTGCCTGTTCTGTTCCCCGCTCTGTCTCTGGTGAATCCTCTCACCCTCCCGCACATCTGGCCTGTACCCCAGTTCTTGTATAAAATAAATAAATAAAATCTTTTTAAAAAAAAACATGTGTCCTCCATTTCCTCCTCCTATGTTAATGTATGGAAAAATGTATTGTTGAAACTTACCACCTCTTGAATTCTAACATCTAGGGAGGATGTCCCAAGAATGCCCTGGCAGTTAGAAAACAAATTAGCTTGGCAGTTTTTGTTTCCTTGGATACCTTCCCACACACCCACACGTGCATTTCTCTTGACCACTACGGACATTCCACACTCTCTCCTTCCAACAGTATCCACTGTTCTGTTGTTCTTCCATGGATTCTTCATTCTCTGCATATATGTGATATGTAATTCAAGCATGACTCTGAACTAAAGGATACTATGCCTCAAACCCCTTTAGATACCCTTTTCATTAGGCTTTCTAAGTTCAAAAAGGTTTTCTTTTTTTTTTTTTTTTTTTTTTTGAATTTCCTTTCCTTTTATTTCTTTTTTTTTTTTTAAATATTAAATTTTATTTTTATATTCCCCCATACAATTGCAAACGCCCCATTCTGACCCCAATCCTTCCCCTCCCGCCCCCCACCCCCAAAAAGTGTCTCTGGTTCATAGTTTTTTGTTGATTTTGATTTTCACTTTCTTATATTCATTTTCCTGGTCCCTTATTTAAGTTTTCTAGATTCCTGCTATGAGTGAGACCATCCGGTATTTTTCTTTTTCTTTTTGGCTTATTTCGCTGAGCATGATCCCTTCCAGTGCCATCCATGTTGCTGCAAATTGCATGTGTTTATCTTTTTTGAATGCTGAGTAATATTCCATGGTATATATGTACCACATCTTCTTGATCCAGTCATCTATTTTTGGGCATTTGGGTTGTTTCCAAAGCTTAGCTATTGTAAACAGTGCTGCTATAAACATAGGAGTGCAGGTGCTCTTTGGAATTGATGTTTCTGTGTCCTTTGGGTAAATACCTAGGAGTGGAATTGCTGGATCATATGGAAGCTCTATGTTTAGTAGGTCCAGAAATCTCCACACAGCTCTCCATAGTGGTTGGACCAGTTTGCACTCCCACCAACAGTGCACAAGAGTTCCTTCAAAAAGGTTTTCTTTAGTCACTTACAGTCAGAAAGTTTTGCCCTCTTCGCCATTCCATCTTACTCTCATTTCCCAGTTCTCATCAAAGTTCTCTTTCAGTGCAACAGACAAGTGTTTTTAATGCTTTGTCCCAGTTAGTACATTTTCTAAGTGGTATGGGAAGTTGGCTGTTTTTTAAAAAAATTTACTAGAAAATTTCTGCAATCAATCAAACCTCTGTAGAGTAGAAACCACCCAGAGTGTTTTCCAGGAGCCCACTGAGAGTGATTCACTTTTAGAAAAACTAGCAAGACATTTTCATGGGCCTTACCCTATGGAAGGCTCACAACCATGTGCCCCAAGGAAAGCACATGCTCTCAGCATTACTCAGCTTTGTTAAGTAGTTAAAAAATTTACATGTTGCCTGTAATGGTGTTGAGTCAGAACTTGTTAGGATTACATGACCCCTTTCATTGCCTGGAGTGCTACTCAGTTTTTAAGATTTATTTATTTATGCATACAAGAACTGGGGTACAGGCCAGAGGTGGCGGGAAGCGGGTGAGAGGATTCACCAGAGACAGAGTGGGGAATAGAACAGCAGACTGACTGAAATACGCTGCTGAGGGGAGCAGCAGGTGAGTCAGGAGAGGTCTGCTGCACATGTGGGTAGCTCCCTGGCGGGCCAGGGATTGAACTCATGCTGCAGAGGCTGTGGATTGCTTCACAGTGCTGTGCTTAACCCCTTGCACCACCAGGGAGGCCCTACTCACTTGCCATAAGGGTGACCATCCACTCAAAGGTGGTGCCTTTGCCACCAGCCCTGCATTCTACCAAGTTGTGAATATAAACCTGACTGGATTAATCCTGATATCTGATGTCTTATCCCTTCAAGTACCAAAACAAAAATATTGTTTAACTCTTATCTAGGGAATGTTTGTGTATTTACCTTTCTCACATTTAAAATAGAGTATATTGAATATAATTTAGCACTTCTCAATGAGCCCTCGTATAAAATGTGATGTCCTGTGGCATTGTCTGACTTTGTTTCAATTATTCCAGGCTTGTGCTCCTTTGAATTCTGAGATTACACTTTTAGTTTTCCTTTCTTTATCTTCACTTTCAGGATGTCAGACTACTCACTATTACCAATATGCCTGCCTATGTTCTTTACAGCTACTTCTGATTTGATACAGGTTTGGAAATGAGATATCTGGGACCATTGTACAGCATGTAAAATAAGAATCTATAGATCTGGAATGAAACCTGGTAACCTCTCACAGTATTTACATACATGAGTTTACATACTTCCTTCAGAATAAGTGAAGGAAGTTAGAAAAAAGATAAAATGCTCCACTGGACTTTGATTCTTTGAGAAGTGAATTTACAAAAGCATGAGATTACATTGTTCTTTAATTGAGATATATCCATACACAAGAAAATGCACAGATCCTCAGTGTACCATTTAACAAGTGTTGACAAATGTATAAACTTGTGTAACATTACCCAAAGCAAGATAAAGAGCCTTTCCATCACCCCTGGAACTTCCCTGTGACCTTTTAAGTCATTTTTCCCTGCCCCTGCTAACACACACACACACACACACACACACACACTTGGAGAGACAATAGCTGTTCTGATTTCTATTGCTATAGACTGATTTGCCTGCCTTTGAATTTGGAATCACGCAGTCTGTATTCTTCTATGTCTGGCTCCTTTTATTGTATATGTTTTGGAGATTCCAATTGTTATGTGCATTCATGGTTCATTCTTTTTTATTGCTGAGTAGTAAGCCATTGTATAAATATGATACAATTTGTTTATTGTCTCTTCTATTGATGGAGTTTGGGTTGTTTCCAGCTTGAAGCTATTATAAATAAAGTCCTATGAATATTTAAGTGTAAGCCTCTTTGTGGGCATATGTTTTTATTTATCTTGGGTAAATGCCAGAAGTAGGACACTTTTTTTTAAATGGGACCAATCTTACTACTTGTTTTTATAATGACCTATATGTACATAATGATTTATTAAATTTTATTTATTGACTTTAATTTTTAGAATTTACCTATAGACAATGCAAGTGAAATGTAATGATTATTACAGAACAAAGAAAAGAGTGGAGAGAAGAACCCTGAAGATAAAAGGAAAAGTACATGCAGAGGCCCTGAGGAAGAAAATTTTTGATGTATTTGAAATCTAAGTGAAGTCTATGTAGCTAGAGCCTGGGGTTTGAAGGGGACAGTGGTAGGAGATGAGACTGGTGAGGAGAGCTGGGATCAGTTTATGCAGGTCTAGTAAGCCTCATTAAGCATGCTAGATGTTACTTTAAGTGCATCCCACTAATGGTTTTAGAAAGCAATGTGCTTCATTTTAGAAAGTAATGTGCTTCATTATTCACCATGGAGAAGATAGAAGCTCCAAGAGAGAAGCAGACCAAGCCACCGAAATGATGCTTTGGAGAGATGAGCATGGCCTTAGTTAGACTAGCAACCAAGAAACATGGGCATCTTTGAGACATATTTTGGAAATAGAATTTGAGTTCATGGCATCTACCAAATTAATTTAAATGTGAAAAATAGAGCACAATTTCATGTAATTGTTAAAGCAATACTTTTGCAATCTTAAATTTAACATTTTTTTATTGTGCACTGATTTTACGTGAGTCATTCAAAGGCATCACCTGGAGAACTAAAAGAAATGAGATGAAGGAGAAAAGGTAAGGTTTAAAGCAAAGATTGGCATAGAAAAAGAGACTACTCATGGTCAAGTAGCCAATTTCCAAACAGAAAAGAGGGAAATCATTAAGCTTTCTGAGGATGGCTGCAGGGACCTACTTCTCTTGGTTTCATAATCTATCTCTTTGATGAAACAGGGAAACACTCAAGTCCTTTATGGCATAGTGGGGTAGAAATGTTGCTGTCCCCAAAATACATGAACATATCTGAAATCACATTAAAGCATATTTATCTCAGTGAAACAAATCAGAGAAAGACACATACTGTCTGATATTAGAAAAGAGCACCTTAGATCATTGAGGAACAATGTTGAGAAGTAAACATTAAGAGTTGTTTTTCGGGCCTCCCCGGTGGCGCAGCGGTTGAGCGCTGGGTTGCGAAGCTGCCCGCAGCCTCTGCAGCGCCGGTTCGATCCCCGGCTGCTCCCCGGCCACCGGAGGAGGGTCCCACATGGCGCGCAGACCTCTCCTGCCGCCTGCTGCTCCCCTCAGCAGTGTACTTCGGTCCTTCTGCCTGCTCTGCTCCCCGCTCTGGCTCTGGTGAATTCTCTCACCCTCCCGTGCTTCTGACTGTACCCAGTGCTTGTATAAATAAACAGATAAATCTTTAAAAAAAAAAAGAACAATTAAAAAAAAAAAAGTTGTTTTTCACAGTGTAGAATATCTAACAATGCTGCCACAAATTAAATATGCTGCTACCAAAAAAATTTTCTAAAAGCTAGAATGAGATAAAAATAAGGCAAGTAGTAAGAGTCCAAAAAGGACTAGAAAACAAATTCAAAGGATAAGCTGATATTTGTGCTGATCTTGGTGGCAAGGACATCCCAGGGAGTTAAGAAGCAAAGTCTGAGAACTGAGCAGGAGGAAGTCAGACTGTAACCCCACATAAAATCAGTCTGAAGAGGAGACACCAGTGTATAAAACAGATCGTCCACCGCACTTGTCTTAATTATGAATCTACTATAAGGAAACATTGTAAATAAATTTATTGTGAGTCCTTGTGGGACTAAATATCCCTTAGATATCACTCCAGAAGCCACACATCAGAGAAGAACCTGGTTAAGAGTGTGAGTTCTGGAGGAAATTGTTTGGAGGAAAATGCAATCATTTTCTCGCTGGGACCTCCGACAAGCTCTTAAACTCCTTGGGTCTCAGTGTCTTTGTCTGGCACGCTTCCTACCCCTCCACCCTTCACACCCTCAACACACATAATGTCCCCCACTTCATCCTGGGCCAAAGGAGAAAGAAAGAGAAGATCTGGTCTAGCTTACAAAGTTGGCGTAAAGATTAAATTATTTAATACATGTTGAGTGCGTTAATCAGGGTCTCGCACATAGCAAACTCTAAGCAATTTTACCTGGGAGTACATACATTGATAATCAGACAGCAAATAAAAAACAGACCAGTTTCTTTGGACTTAATCTTTTAACGTACAAATCACACCCCTT